AGACAGCATTCTCGATTTCAGACACAACCTCGGCCGGTATCTTATCCCTGTACTCGTTCAAGCTCTTTTCAACCTCGTACACACGAGTATCTGCCCTATTTCTGAGATCAATGAGGGCCTTCCTTTCCTGGTCCTTTTGCGCGTGCAGCTCAGCCTCTCTCACCATTTGCTGAATGTCTTCCTCCGAGAGGCCGCCGGACGAGCGGATGGTGATTTGTTGCTCCTTGCCGGTGCTTTTGTCTTTAGCCGACACGGTCACGATGCCGTTGGCATCGATGTCGAATGTGACCTCGATTTGTGGGAAGCCACGTGGGGACGGGGGGATGCCATGGAGTTCGAATTCGCCGAGGAGCTTGTTGTCCGAGGCCATTTCGCGTTCGCCTTGGAGGACCTTGATGCCTACCTGGGTCTGGTTGTCGGCTGCCGTGGAGAATGTCTGCAAGAGACGCGAGAAATTAAAAGGTAGATGATGAGTGAATCAAGTAAAAATTAAGTGATGTGGAATACTTTAAAACGAATTAACTAATGAAATTTATGAAGAGAAAGATTTGAATTCAAATAATATCTAAGAAACGAAGGTAATGAATGACATAAACCAACATATTATTAAGGGTGTGTTTGTTCATAAATTATCTCAATTTATACTCAATATTTACCTATAATTTAACACAATCGTTGTCTTGAATATTATCAATATAATTAAATTATATCAATAAATTTTTCTTACACATCACTTAAACTTCAACTTAAATGACTTATTTACCCACTCACATAATTTTAACAAATCATCACATAACATCATCTATCTTCTACTTTTATATCAAACTTTAATAATTTATTTAAATACATGAAAGGCTGAAGAAGATGCACCTGACTTCTCTTTGTGGGGATAGTTGTATTCCTGTTGATCAACCTCGTAAAAATGCCGCCAAGCGTCTCAATACCAAGGGAAAGTGGGGTCACGTCAAGAAGAAGCAACTCTTTCACATCCCCTCGAAGAATGCCACCCTGGATTGCAGCACCCATGGCCACGGCCTCGTCAGGGTTCACGCCTTTGCTGGGAGACTTGCCAAATATTTGGTTAACCACTTCCTGAACCTTAGGGACACGTGTCATGCCCCCAACGAGCAGAACCTCATCAATATCAGTTGTTTTTGTGGAAGCATCCTTCAAGCAGCTCAGGCAAGGGGCCCTCGTCCTCTCGATCAGGTGGCCCACAAGGGTCTCAAACTTTGACCTGGTCAAGGTTATGTTGAGATGCTTTGCACCTAAGGCATCTGCTGTGATGAAGGGCAGGTTGATCTCAGTCTGTGATGTGGATGAGAGCTCGATCTTCGATTTCTCAGCTGCCTCACGGAGTCTCTGGAGGGCAAGTTTGTCTTTTGACAAGTCAATTCCTTCAGTCCTCTTGAATTCACTCACCAGAAAATCCAAAAGAGCATTATCAAAATCTTCGCCTCCCAAGAACGTGTCGCCGTTCGTGGCTTTCACCTGCATAGTAAGTAAACATGTCATCATCACATTTTACTACAATTATTAAGCAAGAAACAGATAACTGGAAAATGCACGAATATTGTTTCATTACCTCAAAAACGCCACCGGATATCTCCAGGATTGAAACATCAAAAGTCCCACCTCCAAGATCAAAAACAGCGACAAGGCCTTCTTTTTTATTTAATCCATAAGAAAGTGCAGCTGCCGTAGGTTCATTAATAATTCTTTGCACGTCGAGACCCGCAATTCTGCCGGCATCTTTAGTAGCTTGCCTTTGGGCATCATTAAAATAAGCAGGAACAGTAATCACGGCCTTATTTACGCTCTTGCCGAGGTAAGCCTCAGCTGTTTCCTTCATCTTGGTCAGAACAAATGCACCAATCTGGCTCGGTGAGTACTGTTGGCCATTAGCTTCAACCCACGCATCGCCATTAGTGGCACGAACAATCTTGTAGGGTACCATCTTCATTTCTTTCTGGGTCTGAGGGTCATCAAATCGCCTACCGATTAAACGTTTAGTTCCAAAGACTGTGTTGGTTGGGTTGGTGACAGCTTGTCGTTTTGCAGGCGTTCCCACCAAAAGCTCGCCTTTTTGGCTAAAAGCAACTACTGATGGAGTAGTTCGAGCACCTTCAGAGTTCTCAATAACTTTCGGGTTCTGAAAGAAATTTGTCAATTATCAGCCTAATGGCTCTAATAATCAACAAATGTAAAGTGATAAAAGGTTAAATGCTGCTGAGTGAACAAAGGTCTCACCTTTCCCTCCATGACAGAAACACAAGAGTTAGTCGTCCCCAAATCAATTCCAATTACATCATCTTTAACAGGTTTAGGTTTTGTGCTGCATCAATAAAGAAAAATAGAAAAAAAAAACTTAGAATTTAAATGGGAAGGTTCTATGAAAATTTTGATACAGATATATACCTGAATGGCCTTAAAAGACCTGCAAACTTGTTGCTCGAAGCCCATGACTGCTTGGTGTTTCCAGTTAACTGAAGAAGAAGTACAAAATAAAAACTTTATACCAAATAGGTATCTCAAAGTACTAAAAGATGTTAATCAACAAGAGAACAATGCAAGGACAAAGCCTATGCCCAAAGGATGGACACTATAATCAATCTGCTCAACAACTTGGGGATTCTATAATTTTCCGCACACGAACACAGTAGATGAAAAACAAACTAGACAAAAAAATCAACCCAAAAATACATAAAAATCGAGATAAGCTCCCGAATGAGCCAACTTTAATATAACAGGGCAAACATAATTACACCAAAATACCCATCTTTCAACGGAACAAATGATCAAGCAATAATCAAAGGCACACCTATACTGCCTTTTCTATTAAGATTTAAGGAGCGACAAACAGAAATCAAAGAGCTTTCACATATCGGCAACAAATTTACAGTCGATATTCAACTCCTAACGTTTAATAACCATCTGAAACCTTAGAATCTAAGCAAAGACCAATCAAAAATTGAAACTCAATCGGAAGATACGTACAATTCGGTAAGCCGAAATAGGGGCGGAAGAAATTTCACGGTGACGGAAAGATCTGAGAACAGCGGCGGCTGCCATTGATGGATAGAGGTTCAGAGAGAAAGCTGTGAGCTTTTTTCTGTGGTAGGGTTTAGGGTTTATGGGGAGAGGAGTGAGGAAGAGAGAACGGAGCTGTTGGGAATTATATTGTAAATGATTTTACTAGCGATTATAAATATAAAGTGGCAAATAAATAAATAGTATTATCAGAAGGTTCTAGACGTAGGTGGATTGTTCCTCAAGAAAAAAAAAAATCATACGGAAAATAATTTAATATCCTAAATTATGTGCCCATAAAGTCCTTTATGTTATATTTATTATTATTATATGTTTACCTAATTTTCTAAATACTAATAATAAGCAATTGAGATTGTATTTTAACTAAGACAACGGAAATATAGTAATTAAAATCAATATTTAAAATTATTATTTTAATTCTTTATTATATATTAGAAATTGAATTTTTCCAAAATATTAAAACTTTAAAAAATTCTATCTTTTATTTTTTAATTGTACATTTAATTAATGTCCAACACTTTTTTTTTTACACACACTGGAGGATTAATACTGGTTCCCCAATTCCCCTCCCAGTGACTCGAACTCAAAAAGTGAGATACGTCGAGCAAGGTATGCGCCATTGCGCTAAACCCTCTTCGTCCTAATTTATGTCCAACACTTGTGTACATAGGTATTATATTAGCATTATTAACTTGCAAGTTGCATATTCTTCATATTAATTTTTTTTTTTTCAAACTTCACATTACATGTAATTTTGCTAATTAAGATGGATGCTATAATGAATATACATTTCGAAAACATTTACAAAGATTTTCTCTATAAAGAAAATGATTGTTTTTCATGCAACTACTAGTTCTATGATCTCTATATAATATCCCCCTATATATTATTTCAGAATGCGCTGAGCCTACGTGGCTGCTTCTGGTGTTTCGGAATCCTACTTGGCAAAGAATTCGTAATTAGGTTTGAACAAATAATATTGATATATTAATAATTAATAATTTAGGTTTGGATATTCCATAAATATTATTTAGCTAACTTAAGTATTTTAATATCACTTGTACTAATATGACCCTTTATTTCTTTGTAATTTTACATACTGAGGCACTAAGTGACTAATATATCCCTGACTTTTGATTTGTTTCCTTCAATTAACTATTGAATTATAAATGTATTTTAAAAGTCGATAACTTCTGTATTTCATATCGGTTTACATATATAGTATATCAAATTAATCATCTTTTGATGATTTTCGATTTGACATTCATATTGTATGTATTAAATAAATAAATTATATTTATAATAACAAAAAATAATTATATTTATTAAAATTCATTAGAAAAATAAAATTATTTCTCAATTGATATATTTATGCTTAATGTAGTTATATGCTGTAACTTAAAAAAAATTATTATAATATAACACATGTAAGTTGCACAAATACAAAGTGTCATATTAAATATATAATAATATATATATTTTTATAAAAAGTATTTAAATTTTTCTAACTACTTTTTCTCATTAATTTTAGATTTTAAAAAAAAAATTAGCATGCACCCGTGTAATACACGGGCGTTGTACTAGTATTTATATAATTATAGTTTTTAAACCCGGCCCGGTGATTGACCCGGGAAGGTCTCCGGGTCACCGGGTCACTGGTTCAACCGCTGGGTCACCGGGTCAATTGATGAACCGGATAATTAATTTTAAAATTTTTAAAATTATATATATATAGTATTTTGTCATATAAATATACATAAAATAACAAAATTAAATGTTTTGTATGTAAAATTTGTATATTAAAGTGATAATAATATTTTTTTAATAATAAATATTTACCATAAAAATATATATACATAGTTTTATTTTTAAAAAAATAAAAAAAAAAATAAAAAAAATTTAAATATATGTAGGGACCGGGTCAATGCCCCGGGTCGCCCGGGTCAAGGCCGGGTTGACCGGGTTTGACCGGTTCATTTGTTATCCGGTCTAATTAGCACACCCGGACCGGTTCTGGCTCCGGGTCGACGGGTCCCGGGTCGACCCGCCGGGCCGGTCCGGGTTGAAAAACACTGTTTATATAATGATAAAAATTAAAATTAAAAAAAATAATAAGACGAGGGAAAATTCATTAATTTATTTTGGGAGAAAATAAAACTTGAAGTAAGGGTAAGACCGTGAGACTATGAAAAGGTGAACTTACATTCAAGAAAGTAAGCAATATTCGTGGACAACCAAACACCGCTCAAGTACCGTGTTTATGGTTTGCAATAGAGATAGTTAAACAGTCATTTGTTCGACGGGTCGGCCCGTTTAGCCTGAAAAAATAGAGTTAGGGTCATTTTTTTGTAGCCCGTTTAAATCAGGATTTTTTAAGCTCGGACCATTTAACTCGAAGCCTGATAAGGCTAGTTCGAAGCCTGCTAGGGCTAGCCCGTTTAACTTGGGTTGAACGGTGTAAATGTTTGCAACATGTGAAAAATATGCCCCAAAATTTCTTGTATATTACAATTTTGATATTCTACGTCATATGTAACTATGAGTTGTAAAGGGTTATTATATTTTGAAAGATAATTATTAACAATTTCGTTATTTTACTTCACACCACATTATTAAGTCAAATAGAACAGCTAATAGAAAACACTTGAGACAAAATCTTGACACATAGAACTTAATGATATAAATTCAACAGATACAATATCGTGAAAATTTTTAAAACGTACAAAATAGAAAAAACGAAGACGGTTTATGTTTATTTTCCCCAATTGAGAGAGAGAGAGAGAGAGAGAGAGAGAGAGAGCCACTTCGTGAGCGACTATAACAAGTCACGCTCATGATTTTAAAAATGACAAATAGAAAAAGATAAAGATGTTGTTATTAAAGGTGGACGGACCGAGGCCAGAGGACGACAATTCTCTCTCTATGGGAGTGCGATATTCTCTCTCTATGGGAACCCTAATCTCCTTCACTTTGGCTAGAATTCTTCTTCCAATGGGGCTTGATTCCTCTAATTAGGGGTTTATCTTGTAACCTCTTCTTCATTCTCATCCTCAGTCTTTCTTTTTTTCTTTTCTTTTCTGCCTCTTTGTTGGTGTCTTCGAAAATGTCTGACCCAGCCGGTTGTAAGAGTGATAATGAGCTGGATTTGAAGTTTAAGAAGATGGATCTTTCAGAATCTGAAGTTAATATCATTGAGATCGACGATTGGCACATTAAAGCTAGTGATGAAGAGTGTAGCAATAGCCTCTTTGGTAAAGTGATAGGGGAGAAGAGAGCTAGCCTAATCGGCATACGCAGGACCATGAGCCAAATTTGGCAAATTCAGCATTCGGTAGAGGTTCGTGAGCTTAGGGCTAACTTTTTCCAATTCCTTTTTGTGACCAGTGAAGACAAGAACAAGGTTCTTAGCGGGGCGAATTGGGTTTATGAGAATCAATTTCTAATCCTAAAGGAATGGGTGGCCGGGATAAACGATAATCATCCAACATTTGATGAACTGAATATCTGGGTGCACGCTACTAATCTGCCTATCAATTGGCTCAGTTCAGAAGTGGGGGTTAAGTTGGGGAAAATTTTCTCTAAAACTATCAATGTTTCTGTGGTTAAAGCCGGAGGTAATAGGGGGAACTTTCTCAGGCTTCTGGTCTCTGTCAATGTCAAGAAACCCCTTCCCAGATGTGTGCATATGAAGCATCACGATACTCTTATTAGAATTGACTTCAAATATGAAAAATTAGTCAGCTTGTGCTTCTATTGTGGAATTCTTGGGCATATGGATAAAAGCTGCTGTAAAAGGATGGAGGTCCTTAACAGAGGTGCTATTAAAGATGGTCAATATGGGGAATGGATGAAATCTCTAGAAGGGAGATACAATCATTTATCCTATTCTACCAGTCTTTCATCTGATAAATGCTCAGCCTCCCCTCCTCTTTCTACTGATCATGGCCAACATACTGATAAAGGGGAAGGGGCCAACAACTCCTCAGGAAGCAGAATTGTTACTTCTGGAAGTAAGGACCTGGGTGCTAGTCCTCAAGGAAGAATTGATGGGGAAAATTCTAATATGGAGGTATCGACAGAAAATCCCATCCAACCCCAAAAGAAGATTGACATGGTGCAGCCGGTGGAACCTCTAAATTTGGCAGTTGAAAACTTGCAAGAACAGAAGAGGGCTCTATCTCCAGGATTCTCTGAGGAGGAAAGTGGTTCAGAAAAAACAACATGCTCTTATCAGAAGCTAGATACCATCATCTCTGCTGATATAGCTGATATGCCTAAGAGACAAACCTGGAAGAGGAAAGTTTATCAAATTGGAAGATCTTCCTCAGCGGTTGCTGATGATGAGGAGTGTCTTCTCACTCATTCTCAGAGTATGAAAAGACCTCATAGTAGTAGGGGGGAAACAGAAATGGGGGACTCTATTCTGTTGGAGCAAGAAACAGGCAGAAAGAAACTGAAGACTTTGGATCTGGAGGTGGGGGTAGCCAGCCTTGAATGGCCCCAACCTAATCAATGGAGATTATTATGTGGAACTGTAGAGGTCTGGGAGGGCCCTCTACAGTCTCCCAGCTTAAGGATATGACTAGAATCCACCTCCCAAATTTTGTGTTTTTAGCTGAAACAAAAAAACAAAATATGTTTATTAGAACTGTATGTAGGAAAATTGGTTTTGAAGGAAGGTGGGAGGCTTTTGAGCCTCAAGGGCTTAGTGGGGGAATTCTAGTTCTCTGGAGGAAGGACATGAAGATTGTTCAACTTATCAAACATTCCTTCTTCTTTGAACTGGAAGTGGAAGATATCAATGGTTCTGACTCCTGGTGGATAATTTTTGTGCATGCTAGTTCCATCAGAAGAGACAGAGAGGATCAATGGGATACATTGGTGGCTGCTAGTGATAAATGGGGCTCCAATTGGGTGATTGGTGGAGATTGGAATGAAATTCTTGACAACTCTGAGAAAAGAGGGGGGAGAACCAAATCAGTGCTTGAGCTAAAGGGTTTCTCTGATTTTATCTCTCAACTTGAGATGCTGGAGATCAAAATGAAAGGGCATGGCTTCACTTGGTGCAACAACAGAATAGGGGAGGATTTTATTGAAGAGAAGATTGACAGAATTTTTGGATCCTTTGATTGGTGTCTTAAATACCCCAATGCAGAAGTACACAGCATATTCCTAAGTGCTTCAGATCATCATATGCTTCTATTAAATTCTGAGTCTGAGATCAGCATTCCCAGAAAGAAAAGATTCTTTTATGATCAAAGATGGATCAAAATCAAAGGAGCCAAAGAGGTTGTCCAACAAGCATGGAGCAAGGCCAAGACTGGTACTCCTATGTTTCAGCTAGGGGAGAAAATAAAGGAGACCAGGGTTGCCCTGTTGAAGTGGAGCAGTCAATTCAGAAAGAATAATAAAAGAAAGAGACTTGCTATGGCCAGCAGACTTGAAGAGCTCAGAATGCAAGGTGCTGATAGAAACTGGGGAGAGTGGACTCAGCTGAAAGGAGATCTGGATAGAGAAATCAAGAAAGAAGAGTTGTTCTGGAGCCAAAAAGCAAGGGTCCAGTGGCTCAAAGAAGGGGACTCCAACTCCAAATTTTATCATGCCTCTGTTATGCAGAGAAGAAAGCAAAACGCAATTAGCAGGTTAATCAATTCTGAAGGAATTATATGTGACAGAACAGAGGACATTGAGCAATGCCTAACCAGTTTCTACAAGAAGCTTTATTCTTCAGAGGGATCTTCAGGGCACAGGGAAATTCTAAATCTCATTCCCAGTCATCTCAGATGATACCAACAATCAACTTATAGCTCCTGTCACGGAATATGAGATTAAAGAAGCTGTCTTTAGCATGGATCCAAGTAAAGCCCCTGGGCTTGATGGCATGTCCCCAGCATTCTTTCAACATCATTGGCCCACTATTAAAACCGAGGTCTGTGAGGCTATCTCTAGCTTTTTTCTCTCTGGCAGGCTTCTTAAAAATTGGAATCATACCCTTATCTCCCTTATTCCTAAGTGCTTGAACCCAACTTCTTTAAGCAACTATAGACCCATTAGCCTTTGTGGGGTGTGTTACAAAATAATTTCCAAAATTTTATCCACTAGGCTGAAAAGCTGCTTGCACTTGTGAATTAGCGACAATCAATCTGCCTTTATCAAAGACAAACAACTTCTCGACAATGTCATTATTGCTCAAGAGGCGGTTCATTTTCTCAATAGGCACAGATCTGGTAATAGTTTCTATATGGCTGTCAAATTAGACATGGAGAAGGCTTTCGATAGAGTGGAGTGGGTATGTATCATCAAAATTCTCAAAGCCTTTGGTTTTCATTCTGATTTTGTTCAATGGGTTTTTGCTTGCATTTCTGCCACCTCCTTCTCTTTCAACCTTAATGGGGAGGTTAAGGGCTACATTACAGCTTCCAGAGGTATCAGACAGGGGGATCCACTATCCCCCTATCTCTTCATTCTTGTTTCTGAGATGTTCACCAAGCTTCTTAGCTCTGAATCTGCCAGAGGGAATTTCAAAGGCCTCAAAATTTCCAGGCATGGTCCTTCCTTTACACACCTCCTTTTCGCTGATGATGCTCTTATTTTTTGCAAAGCTGACCCTCAGCAGGCTGTTGCTCTGCTCAATGTGTTGCACACCTATCAACTCTTTACTGGGCAAAAAGTAAATCTGGGGAAATATTCTATATTCTTCAGTAGAAATACACCAGCTGTTAGACAGAACCAGATTTGTCTCATCTTTAATGGAATCTCTGTGCATAGATCCACAAGATACCTGGGTCTCCCCCTGGGTATTGGGAAATCCAAAAAAGATTGCTTTGAATATGTTGTGGCAGCAGTGAGGAACAAGCTCTCTAACTGGAAGAACAAATTCCTTTCTTGGGCTGGGAAAGAAGTCCTCATAAAAGCTGTTCTGAATGCCTTGCCCATCTTCACCATGTCTTGTTTTTGCATTCCTAAGAGTGTATGTCAAGAAATTTCTAGATTATGTGCAAGATTCTGGTGGAGTAAGGGGGAGGACCACAAAAGAGGACTGCACTGGAAGTCATGGAGGACCATCACAATTCCCAAAAAGGAAGGTGGCCTTGGATTTCAGGATATCAACTTGTTTAATGATGCCCTTATTCTCAGACAATTGTGGAGAGTGGTCACTAACCCTAATCTGCTGGTTAGCAGGATTCTTAAAGGTAAATACTTCCCCAAAGGTTCTATCTTTCAGGCTAAAATCAATAGCAATGCCTCTTGGCTTTGGAACAACTGGCTCAGAGTCAGGGACAAGCATTCAGCTGGTTTCAGAGTTCAAATTCACAATGGCTGGGGCACCAATATATGGACTGACCCTTGGATTCCACACTCTGAACTGGGAATTCCAATGCCACTCAATGAGGAGGGGAAAAATTTCAGATAGGTGGGAGAGTTATTGGATGAAGATGGCAGATCATGGAACAAAGCTGTATTGGAAAGAATTTTCTGTGAAGTTGATCAAAAAAATATTATGAGAATTTCTTCTCTTAATCCTGATGCTGCAGATAAATGGTTGTGGAAGTTCGATCCCAAAGGCATATTTTCAGTTTCAAATGCATACACTCATTTAATGAAGCTGAAACTTACTGATCTGGATATGGCTGAGGGGAGCAGAAGTGCTGCTGTGAACAGAAAGGTGAGATCAAGGAGCTGGAATTTAAAGATCAAAGGCAAGCTGAAACACTTTTTGTGGAAATGCTACAATAATATCCTGCCTGTTAGTCAGAAACTCCTTCTTAAAGGTATAGACATTGATCCAATTTGCCAAGCTTGTGGGGCTACAGAAGAATCAGTGGAGCATGTTCTTCTTCAGTGCAACAGAGCCAAAACTGTGTGGAAATTATCTCAGGTGCAGTGGGATGGACTTGAAGCAAATACTGGTAACTTCAGAGAATGGTGGTGGAGAGCTTGTTGCATCGACAGAAGGGCCATTTCTGAAGATAGACTCCAGTTGTCCACCTACATCTTATGGTGGCTCTGGAAGTCTCGAAATCTTTGGAAATTTCAAAGCTTGATGATGCCAGAGACTGAGGTGGTTAAGAATGCCTGGAAAGATTGGAGGGAATTTATCCTTGCTAGCCAAGAGCATGCAGACTGAAGGAAGGAGTGTACTAGGTCCATTTTTATGGTTCAGTGGTAGCTTGTCTTTCTTTTGGTTTGTCTTTTTAGATTTAGTTCCTATCCTCTATCTGTCCTGGGCAGTGATTTGTTCATTTTGTATTTGGGTTTGGTATTTCCTTTCGTAGTCTTTCCTTTGGATTTTGCTAAAGGGCTCTGGTTGGCACCTGCCTTTGGCTTAGTTTTATTGTGTTAGTATTGATCTAGAGCATCTCCTTGATGTTTCTCTCATTTGTATGATCTTTTTTGAGGCCGTTGTGTCTCCCGATGTGTAAAACTCTTTTCTTGTTGAATGAATTCCTATCGTTTTGAAAAAAAAAAAAAAGGTGGACGGACCAATCAACACATATAGTTGTGTAAAACAAAAATTATAAAAAAAAACCATCAATAATTAATGTAAAGTTTTAATAACTATTAATAATTACTTTTATTTTTAAATATTATTTTTTTAACTTAATTAATCGTTAGTATAACTAAATTGTGTATTACTTGAGTAAGAGAATGGGATCCTTAAGCCTTATCTAGAACCATAATATTTATTATGTTTGATAAAACTAGATGATAAGTTAGCTGATATCTTATGGCTTATAGTTGAAAAACTAATTTATATGGTAAAAGTGTTTAGTAAAATTAGTTGATAAGCTAGCTGGAATAAAATTTCAACGAGTTTATTTGAAAAGTTATCGAAACCTTATGAGATGAGCTCGAGCTTTTATACCAAACGAATTTTTTTTTTAATATCTCCCTTATATATAATTTCAGATCGCGTGGAGCCTAAGTGACAGTTTCTCATGCTTTGTAAATCTTACATGGTAAAATATTATGTTTTGTAATATGACTTGGATAAAAATTAATATTTTTTTTATACCAAATAACTTAGGTTCGGATTACCATATACATACACCTATTTAATATATTTAAACTATTTCATACATATATATCTATTATCTTCTTCTATAATGTGCATATAATCTTACTTTCCAAATTTTCTGCTTTGTTCATAATATTTTCTTATGTGTTTTAAATAAAATTATTATAAATATATTTAGTGATGCATATAAATTAGTGTTCAGATTTAAAAAAATATTGTTAATTCACTTAGTTATTTATTATAAATTCTTGTATATTCTTTTTTTATTTATTTTTTCCAACTTTAACAAAATATACATTTTTTTTTTTAAATCTTATTGTACAATTAATTATTTTATCAACCACCCACACGGGTATTATACTAGTAATAAGTTTATAAACTAACCAAATAAAATATAAGCTAATTTATTAACCTTAACATCTTTCAAATGTTCTTGAACATCACGTATACAAATTTGTCTAAGAGCAACTCTTATTCTAGTCGAACTCACTCATCAGTCTCTCATCTATGCTCAATACCTTAGGCAAAAAAATAAAAATAAAAGAACAAATCATTCAGTTTTAATGAAGTTAAAAATTTTGGAACAGACATAATGTTACAGAGGCCACACTATAATTAAATAAAAGAAATAAAAAAAAAAAAATCTAATCTACACAAGTAACTCGAGTTACTGAGAATTAGCAAAGTTCGAACTTCGAATCAAAGATGAACGCAAAATCATATCATAACATAAAAAATAGGTGTGCATGCATCATCGTTGCAGCCTAAAGTCGAAGATATCCTCCCCTCTCGGTTCTTCTAAAGAAGGATCTCCGGTTGAGAGACCAACTTTTTCTTAACACTCGCCTTTTCTTCCAGGCTGTTACACCTTTATAAATGGCCGGAAAAAGGAAGCACAATAGAATGATCACCAGCATTGCAAAACAGAGAATCATCACATTACGAAACCCGTCTTTCAGTTCAGGGTCCCTTTGTCCCGTCCATGGAACTCCACCGACATTCATCCCAAACACTATAGACAAATTCGATTCACGTCAGTTTTTATTTAAAAATAAAAATTCAGAAATGAACATGATGACTTGTGGTGTGGCTCAGCTCATAACAAACGTATTCGTTAAGTATTTGGATAGAATTAAAATGGAGATTTTACGATGTTAGTAACTGCAATTTTGGTAAAACAACAGCTTTTTAGGATAAACTTATAATGTTAAAACGACTAATAATCTTAGAAGCAGAAGAGCCCAGTGCAAAAGATCTAACCTCCGGTAATTATGGATAAAGGCAGAAAAATGATGGAGAGGAATGAAAGATAGTATAATTTTCGATTAATCTGCTCGGCCTGCCAGCTGTCCAGGCCAGCCTGAATTGCCGTCACACGATTTGCTATAAAGCCGACATTCTCCTTTAGTCTCCTTATCCGGCCAATTAATTCCTCTAAGGCATTAATATCTTCACTCGCAAACCATTCTTTTGATGAACACTTCTCCTTAACTCGGGGGAATACTTGTTCGCCATGTGCAATCACCTGGGTAAAGCATATATTGGATGATTATGAGCAATAGCTGTATCTTTCTATCTTTCGGCCAGAACTATATTAGTAGGTAAGGTACCTGCAAAAGGCGTTGCAAGTCGAGATGCATTCTTGGAAATTTCCTATCATCTAACAATTGTTTTTTCAAAACAAAGCCACCTGCAAACACAGCAGCATATCAAGAATTTCCACTGCAATGATGGAATAAATGTAAAATGACTAAACTACAAAAAATAGCACCATATAAGAAGACGTTTACAACTTCAAGTATTTGTTGCTACCTTCCTAAAATCGTGACTTCCCTTGAAAATCATCACTTATTCTAACATTTTATTTTCATCCAACCTAACCATCATTTTCAACACACATTAAACAAATGCTTTCGATTCTCGATTACATACCATTAGAGCTTTCGCTGCAAATGCTAGAATATTCATAACAATTCTCGATTACATACCATTTTGATGCTCATTTCCAAAACAATTTTTCTGAAGGTGAATTTTTTTCCATTACAGTCAACTGATGTACTACGAATAATGCTGTTTTACTCATTATGCAGAGTTCATGTATCTAGGATTACATATTTAAAGCATGGTTACATACACATCCCTCCAATCTTTAAACGAAATAAAATAGTATAAAGATAACTGCACGTTTTCAGTGAAAGGAACAAATTTCATAAAAATTGAGGTTTAAATTGTGTTGGTAGATAATATCTTCGACTTCAGTATCACTAGTGAACTATGCTCCTGTCTCCGATATTTCTTTTACTTCTCATTTCTCTCTTCCCTTTCAACTTTAGCACCCTATTCATTAGAATATAGGTATTACACGAACGGAAAGACAATTGTAAACATACCTAAAATGTCAAGAGTCCGCACCTAGTAACAGATGCTCTAACCAATTTTGACCACAAACCAACTGACATGAAGTATTTCTTTAATTTTTTCAAAGTAAATCACTAAACAGATACAAAAAGGGGAGCAAAAAGCTCTCTTCCATGTAAAGGTCATAGCTTTCCAGTAATATCTTTACAACAGAAAATCATAATTACAAGATGAATGATGGAACCAAAGAGCCATCGCCAAACAAACAACTTGACATATCAATCCAGACAAAAACCCACAACTTCATACAGCAGATGAATTAGGAAAAAAAATATACCAAGTTATGTACACATATAATGCAACACCAAGACTTAGAAAATTTGACATTTCTTTTCCCAAAGCACAAGATTATACATTCCACTCAAAACGAAAAATTAAAAAAAAAAAATACCTCTATCCAACTCAAACTCGACAGCATCCAGCTCAATCTCGAGCTTCGTCACTAGGTCCTGAAGGTGATCCACGTGTGTATCCACAACGTGAACAACGAGATTCGAGACCTTCCTAGGCACCGGATTATCTGCCTCCTCCGAATGATTCATCGTCAGGAGAAAATCCAATACATGTTCCCTAATCACAATACCTCCCCGACCCTCATTCTCACCACCCCCACGACTAGAACCCTCAACGACCGGAATCTCGGACAGCAAAGACTCGTTCGCAGGCGAAAAGCCCAATCTTGGAACCCGGCTCAATGACACAGTAATAACCGAGCCCTCGGTAATTCTTGCAGCAATCCTAAAAGTAAACTTGCTTGAGGTGGGCCCGGGTGAATTTACCCTGAAAACAAGGGCGCCATCAACGTGCCCACAAAACGGCCCATTGCTAACAAGCGAGAGTATGTCCTGGAGCTTGAGGGGAGGGCAAAGGACATCGATAAGGTACTGTGCGAGTTGGGCTAGCTTTTGATTGCCTTTCGGGAGTTCGACATGGTACCAACAGAACTCATTGCCTGTGCCTTGAGCAAGATCCCATTCCTTATTGTAGTAATTGCCATCACCATCGAAAATATAAGCCTTTTTTCTAACTGAAGATGGATAATGTGGGTGGTGAAGGCCATTCTCCTCGAGATTTCTCTGCAAGGGCAACTCCCTATCTATGTCCTCGGACTCGGCATCTAAATGATTAAGCTCCATTTGTTTGGTGGTAATTTACTGTATCTAACGTTTGATGAATAAGCCAAAAGAAACACTCTCCAATGGTGTGCACATAAGGTGTTCGACCAAATGACCAAACAGCGGTTTTTCTGTAAACATTAGAGGTCAACCTCAGAAAACGGACAATAAATTTGAGGTATTTTCCTAAATCTTCCTAAATCGTATTTTCCTAAATCTTCTACGAAACCCAGTTGATCTTTTTTTTTTTGTTTATTATTATTATTTGCTAAAAAAGAAAGAAAAAAAATAAAATCTTGGTGAACTTTACCTTGATTATCGCCGGCCACCGGAGGTTTCAGAGATAAAAATCCTCTTCGCCTGTGGCGAGTAAGCCAATTAACTGCAAGAGCGAATAAAAATAGTTTCTTTCTTTATTGTAGGCCAAATAATTTAAAAGTTCAAACAAAACACCGGAAAATCAGTAGTGTGGTGGAGACGACAAACTTTTTGAATGAAGACATTAATTAATATATATAGTGAAATGACATTATGATTTTCATGATTCATGACGACAATTTTGAAGTGATTTTTATTTACTAATTCAAGCCTGCAATATCTGAAATTCGAAGTGAATCTATCTGGTTGGGTACTCAGAGTGATACCTTACCCGTGTCTTGAAAACAATATAATGGAAAAGAAAAATAAATAAATTAATAAGGAAAATGCTACACAATGTGAGTCTATTTTTTATTTTTGGTGTGTTCCACACAATGTATTGTGAGTATTATGTACACTCTTATGTACACCATTATGTACTTGTGGCATTATTCAATTAATAAATTGTGTATTTTTTCTTTTTTCAATAAATTGTGTAATTCTCAACCGGCTAAATCTTGGTTAGAATTAGATTGGTGGACTTGAATTGTGAGTATTATGTACACTCTTATGTACACCATTATGTACTTGTAGAATTACTTTATTAATAAATTGTGTATATTTTTTTTTTTTTTCAATAAATTGTGTAATTCTCAACCGGCTAAATCTTGGTTAGAATTAGATTGGTGGACTTGAATTCCGTCCGCAGCCGACCCGATTAAGTCCGTTGACCAATAGCCTGGAATTGGGCCCATGTTTCACTCTGCCATTGGCCACCGCTTGTCAGTCAGATTAAATTTGGACCGTTGGAAATTATCTACTGTTTCAAATTCAATAGTCAAAATTTATTTCATTTTATTTATTAGATATGATTTCGGGTTCAGGTATGGTTTACAGTCCCGAAATCTCCAATCAGACATATTTTTAAACTGAAACGCTAAATACCGCCCCTTTTAATATTTATCGTCTCCTTAAAAGTAGATTTTGCCCCTCCCCCAAATCTCTCAAAAGGTGATTGTTTATGAATTCATCTAGTTTTTAACTAGTTATTTTTTAACCACAGTTATTTTTGAAAAAAAGTTGGTATGGTTAGTTGTTAGTGGTTATATTATAATAATATTTTAAATAAAATAATTAAAGTTGATATGATGTAAAAGTAAGAAAAATGATTGGAGTTGATAGTTAGTTAAAATTATGTGAGTAGATAAATAGTTTAAAGTTGATGTGATGTATAAGAATGATTGTTGAATGATTGGTTGATATTATTTAATTATATTGATAATATTGGAGATAGTGGGGTTGAGTTAAGTTGAGTTAAATTTGAGTTTTGATTAGTTTTTTTTAGGTGGATGATAAACAATCACACCCTCAGTCTTCTCTTCTCTCTTTCTCTCTCTCTTCTCTTCTCTTCTCTTTCTCTCTCGATTTTCGCTCGAAAAAATTCCAAAAAAATGTCGGCACCACCACTACGCGAAGGCAAGGGATACTCGTATCGGTACGTTTTTTTTTTTTTTTTTTTTTTTTAAATTTCGATCAAAAATTATGTTTGAAAATTTTTTTATCTGTTTGGTGGCCGGCCGATAGTGCCGGCCTTTAGAATGGCCGGCAAAACGAAAAGCCGGCCACCAGGGCCGGCCGAAAAAGCTCGGGCCGGCTATTAAGCGGCCGGCCCCCACCTAGAACCGCCGACATTTTCGGCCGGCCGGCGGTGATGCCGCCTGGGCCGGCCGCGCGGCCTTTGTTTTATTTTTTAAATTTTAAAATTAATAGATAATAATATTAAAAAAATTACAATAAATATTTTTTATTAATTTTATTTAATATTAAAAAGTTGAAAAAACTTAAAAATTAATGAAAATAATAAAACAAATAATAATATTGTAAATATTAAAAAATAAAAATAAATATTAAAAATTTAAAATTCGAAAATTATTTTGTTTGATAAAAATAAAATAAATAAGTGTAATATTTTTGTTTGTTAATGTTAATAAGTATTTTGTTTAAAAAATTAAAAAATGTTAAAAATTAATTGAATATATTAAAAATTTTAAATTTTAAGAAAGAGAAATAGAAAGGAAAGAAAGAGAAATAGAAAGGAAAGAAAGATAGATTTATGTCCAAATATCGGATATAAACATATCAAAAGAGAATAAACAAATGATATTTTTATTTGTTTTAAGATATTCCTTGTATTTCTAAGTGCTCAACTCGACTCCGTTCCCGTTCGCCGAAGCTCGTAAATCTGGTGTGCTACAGATTTAGAAACGTTTGCCGTTGTATCTTTGGGGAAGTTACGCCTGAACCGTTAGCTGCCACACGAGGCGTATTCTTTTTGCGGAAAGAGTTTTACTCGCCTCAGCTAAAATCTTTCCGTTTTTTCAGTTGTAATTTATTATTCAGTTCAATTGTAATTTTTTATTTTTAGATTATTTGTAAAAACTGAAAATACATATCAGTTCGTAGGATTCCGGTGTAATTTTACACCAATTATCCAACATAAACAAGGATCTTTATAATAAGAAAATAAAATAAAAAGATTAAACTAGCAGGAAAAGAATTTTCAATACATCTTTTAGTGCTTGTCTCACCTGCTGCCATGTCATCAATTAAAATTTGCCGTAGCACCAGTTGCACTATGGTGTGCCTTGGCACACCTTGCTAGGTGTGCCAGGCTAGATTTACACGCGCCAAACAAGTAAGAAAAAAGTGTTGGAGTTGGTTTTTATTTAACGTGGTTTCACGCGCCTGTAATGTCAAATCACACCTTTTAACATTTATTTTTTTTTTCCACAATTTGCCGGCATCCCTTCTCGATTTTTGAACCGTCTTCTTCCCCCAACTGCAACTTCTCTTCATTTTCACCATTGTTTTCTCTTATTTTTCTCTGTTTCACGAGCAAAATTTCTCGGAGAAGACAATTTGAACTGAAAAACGCTCAATTTCCGACGATCCCTACGTCACAGGTAAGATTTATTTGCTTTTCATGTCGATTAAATTTCAGTTTCATATATTTTAAATGTTAAACTTAGAAATGAAAAACCCTAATTCATGGCAGATGGAAAACGAGACATTGCAGAAAATGCTGGTATGTATTTTGTGCCTTGGGTTGAAGTTCCAATCCGACTAGAGATTCAATTCAATTCCAAAACCCTATTTTGAATTTCAAATCTTGTGCCTAGTGTTTAAAGTAGTCATTGCAGAAGATTGTATAATGTTTTATTATTTTTTTGCCACAGAGGATAAAATTAAAGCCCGTAGGAAAAAGAGTTCGAAACAACGGCCAAAAAATGTTGGTGAACGGTATGTCCGCCTTGTTTATCTTTATTCGTATATTGGTTCATTTGAACATGTTCAATTTTCTTTTCAACATATTCATTTGTTTATTAAACATGTTCATTTCGTTGTTATACATGTTCAAAGAACATCTTATATAGAATGTAGACATGTTCATTAATTGAACAATACAATTTAACATGTTCATTACATACTAAAACATGTTCATATCATACTGTAACATGTTCATTTTATATTTGAACATGTTCATTATACAATTTAACATGTTCATTACATA